ATGGCTAATAGATGAAAAAGATTGTAGTAAAAGATTTTTGGTTTCATAAATATCCGATATATGCGGCGACATCTAGGTAAGATGCCTAGATGTCTGGCCATCTCAATCGCCCGATCTCAATCCTCTTGATTTTTATTTTTGGGATCACTTAAAAAGCATAATGTACGACACCAAAGCTAATATTGAGCAAGGATTGCAAAATTAGACACAAACTGCTGCCGAGATAATCCACCAACAGTGGTTTAGGCCACTGTTGGTGGATTGTCTCGCTATCATATCAGCTCCAAAGCGTACAGTCTTTGCTTCCTGAAATCATCTTACACAGCAAGACCAAACTATATCGTCTGTTTAAAATTGATACCACCATACTTAAATAACCCATCTTCTGCAAATGTTTACACACATTTGAGTGTGTCGTTTGCTCACGTCCTTCTGATTGCAAAAGTTGCCTACATAAATGATATCAGGCAACCTTAATAATAAATAAAGATAAAAGAATTAGAATAGGGCAAACATTACAAAGTATGTAATGTAAACTGTGGTTACACTATGAATGATTACAAAATCCAGATTGTACTATGGAGATCATGCCGTCTTCTTGGCTGATACTGAGGGTGGCATACAGTGGTTAACACAGGCATTTAACATTGCCACTGAGGAAGTGAATACTGAGCAAAGATTGCGAAATCAGATACAAACTGGAAACTTGGACTACTTGCTTTAATGTCATTATAAAATCTTTCATTATTTGTCATGAGGAAGGTAGGTTGAGAATCACTCTGTATAATTGTTTATTATGTTGAGAGAGATATTCACAGGCGATTGCAACGAAGACTATCCCAAGATCTATACTTATTGTAAATTAATTTTCCTCCTAAGCTTTAATTTAAGATATAAATTATTTGAGATATCTTTATAAATAACGTTGAAGCGAATTCTCTAATTTCATTAGAAAATCAAATTTCAAATTAATTTGATTTTAGATCGTTTTTTTTTTGAAAATTTCTTTGATTAGTTTTTATGAAATGATTATAGACACATTGAAATGAGGCCGTGTTAATATCAGAATATCAAAACGGGTGTTTTGTTGGAGCTGTCTTGTTCCGAGTGGTTGGTTTCCCCCCATCATCCCCTACATATTCATCATTTCCCGAACAAATTGGACGTCTAACAGTGAGCTTAAGCCGTGCTTCCGACATCGCCGCCACCGTAAAACAGGTGATCCATCTTGCGATCAACAACGCCGACGCTCGTCAACTGTTCAAACTCCTCCTTTCGCTCGGAAGCTCGCCCTCCTCCGAATCTATAATGTATGCAAACATTAACATTTCTCCGTTGATGCACAACGCGTCACGAACCGAGGCGATTGCCGGTGACGTTTAATTTGTGTGCTTAATTGAATCCGCCCCCCTCGCAAGCATTCAGCAACCTTTCCCCCCGTGCGCTCGCATACTACAAAGTTTTTGGACCGAGACGTAAGGTAGCTTCCGGGCTTTGAATCACAGGTTGTGCGTACTCATATAAATATGAGTTCGGTTTGCGAGTGGCCTCATTTACGAGTGGGCCCCATTTGTGCCTCCGGGGCATAATTGGGGGCATTTAGACGCTGTTCCTGCGTTATTAATATCCTTTGGTGGTCTATGAATCATTCAACGATTGAGTTTAGTTGCACCAGAGTGCGCACACAACGGTTTTATTTCCACTTTGAACTAATACAGGTGTGTTATAATAATGTATATGCTCGTTGAATTGGCAAGAGGGAAGTACGTTTATATTTGAAATATCGAGGGGGTTTAAAGTTTAAAGCGTTATTCTTATTTAAACAATTGATTGACAGATTTTGTTCGATGATTCTAATACAATCTATAACCATAAGGTCATAAGTCTTTTGCATTTGAGTTATAGGCGGTGTGATATCGACTGGCAGTTTCATGAATTTATAACTGTCAGAGTATGAACTGTTGGCGCTAAAACACTAGGATCCGGCAGACGGCGGCGTCGCCAATGTCGCATGCATAAAGCCGAAAGCTTGTACCGTTCACTTTGGCCTCTGCGAAGAGGATTTATACCTCTCTCTACCTGTACGAAAACCGGTAGCGAAGGAGACCATCTTCAGCTCTTGAACAATGATTAACGATTTCTCCGGAACAATAGGATTTCATTTCATTGCTAAACCTAGTAGATGTCGTATTCGATCACCTTTTTATTTTAACCAGAAAATTTTTAAACTTAAACAAGCACCTATGAAGATAGTCCCCAATGAGATAGGATTTTACATGTATAATGTTTTGATTATAACAAGAAAATCTCTCAATCGATTTTGATGAACAATATCTAATTCGAAAGCTTAATCCTTAACCAATACGAAAGTGAAAATTTGCTAAAGCTTTTATAGCTTTTATTATCTTAATATTATGTTCAATAAATGTGTCAACGATGGAATTTTTCCTTCAAAGTTCAAGACAGCAAGAGTCCTGCCATTACATAAGAAGGGTGATAAAAAGAACTATAACAATTATAGACGTATATCAATTTTGCCCGTTATCTCCAAGATATTTGAAAGATTAATAGCAAGAAGGTTGGTGGAATACTTTAAAACCATAAATATTTTGCGACCAGTCAGCACGGGTACCAATCAGGCAGATCGGTAATGACGGCAGTTTCTGAAGTAATTGCCTTTATAACGAAAGCACACGATGAGCAAAATGTGACTGGACCTCAGCAAGGCCGTCCATTCCCCTCCATTCACCTGAATAAACTTCAGTTTTATGGTATTAGAGGTCTACAACTAAATTTAATAAGATCTTATTTGATGGATAGACAACAATATGTTGAGTATAATGGTAATAGATCGTCTAGTGTAGAAATCAAACATGGTGTTCCTGAGGGGTCTGTTCTTGGACCTCTCCTGTTTATTATATACAGGTGTCCCGCAACGATTGTACAATACTGCATCAGCGTATTCTCTGATCGAAAACAGACAAGAAAAGTCTAATAAACATAGGTCCGAAAATGGACCAATTTCGAGATATTCAAAGTTTTAGAGTCATAAGCTGACCTATTGTAAACATCATTAATAATTCTAACGATTTAGATGCAGTAATTATATGATTACCATGGTTACGGTGGTTAAGATAAAGTTTAATAAATAATAAGATAATATTAAGTTAATTAATACAGTTCATTAATAATTTAACAAAACAAGTAACAAAGATTGTCGAAGAAAATCGTTCAACCAGCATAAAAACAACGAATATTTAACAAATTGGAAAAGATTCATGTCATAATAAATGTTCAATATGCGCACCATTTACTTCTAAACACAAACGGATACGTTTTCTAAATGAACTTCTAATGCGTTCAAAGATACCAGGAATTTGTTTTACTGTGTCAAATGCGTTACTAATTTTATTCTTCAAATCCTGCACATTTTGAACGTCTTCAGAATAAACAATTTGTTTTAAATGTCCCCAAAACCAAAAATCTAACGGATTTAAATCTGGTGAACGAGGT